GTATCCATTTACCTACAAGACCCTCATGATTACCTTCTTTGTAGCTGAGTAGCTTTCCACTGTATAAAAATGCCTTATCTTCTTATTTGTTCTGCAGATGATGGGCAGGCTACCCCTGCTTCTTTCTGGTTGCCTGTCACATGGAGCATTGTTTTCTCTCCTTTGACTTTCAGTCTGTGAATTACCTTTTGAGTTAATGTGTTTCTTGTATCCCACACATTAATGGATCTTGTTTCTTGATCCACTCGGCCAGTGTTTGTTTTTATTGATGAACATGCACTGGTTCATCTCTGCCATGATTTTTTCCGGCCATGGCTCCCTGCTTTTCCCCTTCATTCACTTGTCTGCCCCAGTTGGCGATCCTGCTCTGCTGCTGTTCCTGGGACTGTGGCCATTTTTATGTCTCCACAATATCCTTTAGTGCTCTTTGTAAGGTTGGTTTGGTGCTCATGAACTCCTTCAGTTGTTCCTTGTCTCGGACTTGTCTTATTTCTCCATGAATTTTGAAAGATAGCTTTGCAGGGTACATAATCTGGGTTGGAAGTTTTTTTTGTCAGGACTTGAAATACTTTACTCCAAGCTCTTCTTGACTTGATGGTTTGTGTTGAGAAGGCTGTCGTGATTCTGATGGGTTTTCCTTTATAGGTAATCTGGTTTTTTTTCCTCTCATAGCCTTTAATATTCTGTTCTTGTGCTGAATTTCTAGAATCTTGATTATTATATGTCTGGGTGTGGATTTATTTTGGTTATTGGAGTTCCATATGCCTCACTTATCCGTATGCCAGGTCCTTTTCCCATGCTTGGGAAGTTTTTCTGTTATTACTAATTGTAAATATTCTGTATCATTCGTGTTGATGCTTGCTTTTTTGCTGACACTTATCATTCTTAAATTATTTTTCTTTGTGTCATCTTGCCACCATTGAATTGTTATTTCCTGGGTCCGTGTTATTTTTAAGAGATCTTTCTTTTCATGATTGCTAGCTGCTATCCTGTCTTTGAGGTCTGAGAGTCTATCTTCAGTTTCTTTCGAACAGTTTTGCTGGATTTTAATGGAGTTTTTAACTTTTTGGATATCTCTTTGAGTCTGTTTCATGCATTCCAGTTCTTCTCTGAGTTGTTCATTCAGAGTTTCCCTCACTCTCCTATGCTCCCCCTTTTTTATCTATGTCTTCTTTAGATACGCTAACAACCCTTTCATTATGTTTGCCATTTCTTCTTTTACCGAAGATAGTATTTCTGATCTGATGTCTTTTACAGCCTCATGAAGTAGTTTCTTTACTTCAGTTGCCAGCATCCCAGAAATTTCAAGTGGGCGACTTCTACTTTCTTCCATGTCCATGTCTCCTGGACTTGTTCTGCTTGGGCTGGAGGCCAGAGATTGCCTTTTGCTCTTTCATCTTGACATTTTTCTGGGTTCCTCTGGACAAGGGGGTTTTAGGGTCCCAGGTACTTCCCACACTGGCTACCCATCTGCAGTGTAGAAGGATGGGTCAGGCACCTGGGTTTCTCCTAACCCAGGTTCTCAGGGAGGGTATGAGGTATGGGGCAGGCTTCTCCAGACTTCACAGCTTCTCCAAGGCATGGCTGGCTGGTTCTCCCTGTCAGCACTGTCTACCCATGAAAGAGTGATGATTTTGATTTTTAAGGCTCACCAGTAATCAGAACTAAAAATTATTTAGGCCACATACATGTGTGAAATATGTGGCCTAAGCTCTGGTAAATGGAACCTTATGGAATGAGAAATAGAATTAAGAATGAGTTAGTAGGGTACAGGGGAGGGGCACAAGGCCCTGGTAGAGAAACATCAAGACACTGCATGGAGACCAACACTGTCTGTTTCTTTAGTTAGGTGGTAGTTTCCCAGTGTTCATCTTGTCTGTGATACAACTTAGGTTGCATATAATCTCATATGTAAATGTAAATTGTGTGATAAACTCTATCACAAAATAGATAAAGTATTAATTTATAAATTCTATCTTTTATAATTTTACACTTAAAAGCCTAACTTATGACTTCCAAGGTCTAGGCTCCTCTAGTGTAATGTGTTTCAGACTTCCCAGTGATTCCAAAATGTTGACTTGACCCAAGATATTAAATTTCTGCCTTTCAGTGTGATGCTGAGGCAGGTCACTCACTCAATTCTAAGCACTGTTTCCTGCTCTTAGTAACTCAATGCAGGAAACCTAACTCACAGCCCCTACCTTATTTGGTAGTCCTTTCTGGGGAGAATTCAGAAGCCTTATTAGATAAGAGAATTATTTCCTGTAGCTTTAACCATAATGTCTCAGAAGGGTGATGGGTATCAGGCACTTCAGTTGGAAGACTCTTACTATCCAATTTCCAACACTTCAGACACCCTACAAGACAGGTACACCACAAGTCAGCAACCTCCAAATTCTGAGGAACTTTTCTCTGTGAACCCCGCTGAAACTCCAGTGAAAAAATAGCAGGTCAATCTGGATTTCTCTGTAAAAGCCAGACTGAAGAACAGTCCACTTCTCCCTGTGCTGTCTAAACCTCAGAATGCTAAAAAGACAGTGGGATTTGCCTATAGGTTCCATAGCCCTGTTTCAGATGTGCCAAGGAAAGTTGAATGCATGAATGAATGAATTGATACCACTTTCTTTTTAACCAAGATAAAAATTCAGATAGAAAGCAAAAAAGTCCACCACTAACATGAGTAAAAGCATTTTCAAAAAGTTTTGTGAAACACATCTTGAACCCCTTCTCTGTGCTTGATGCAAACCTAAACACTCTATATCCGTGACTACTAACTGACAATGTTATCTTTTGAACACCAGACTTAGTTTCATAGAAAATGTGTTCTTTGGGCTGGGGGTGTAGCTCAGTGGTAGAGCTGGCATATTAGATGCTGGGTTAGATGTCCAGTGCTACAAAAAAAGAAAATGTACTTTTCATTTTGTGAATAAAACAGTTCAACAGCAGATACTCAGAAAAGCAAAAATAAAATAATCCATATAGTAACATAACCCAGAGCTTCCTACATAAAATGACTTAGGTGTATATGATTGTTGTTAGTGGGAACCAACTCTGGCTGAAGCCACACTGTGAGTTATTTATCCATGCTGAAGATATAGCATCTTTGATTCATGCTGTGTCCTGGACAAAATTTTTTGTAAATTAATATACATTTCAGTTCTTGAAAGATATGATCAGACCTCTAAAACCAACTGGTAAGTGATTTGTATTTCCTTACTTTTGGGGTATGTTAGGCAGTTTCTTTCTAAGGCAGATGGATTTCCTGGTATCTTTTAGTTTCTAATTCTTTTAAAAGAAGGGACTTTTATTTTAAGGGCAGTTAGGTAACTGCCATTTTCTAGGTTTCATAATGTAGATTTCTCTTGATTTTTCAAAGGGTGCTATGATAAAAGACAGGGACCCTGCCTCCACACTTGAATCACATTCAGGAAGATTCCAGTCATTAGTAGTGCTTTAGCCAACAGTGGTAGATTGAGGGAAGGGTAGAGGGTTTGACCTGAATTGAGGAACATTCTACAAAATAGCTGGCCTGTACTCTTCAAAATGTTAATTTCTTGCAACAAAGGAAAACCCAAGGACTATTTCACTTTAAAGGACAGGAAAACTGAATGTATTACAGGATCCAGGATTTTCTTTTTATATAAAAAGACATTTTGGAAACAATTGGTAAAATCTGGATAAAATCTGAAGATTAAATTTTATTGTATCACTGTTAATTTCCTGATTTCCTGACTGTACTCAGGTTATGTAAGGGAACATTCTTGTTTGAAGAAAATACAGTTAGTTTGCTATAACACCTGTTTTGACAACACTCTATTGTTCCAATGTGGTCAGTATATTAGGCAAGAATTGGAACATGATGAGATTTAGATTTGATTTGATTCATTTGGTTGTGCAGGATTCCATCCATGAAAAATTCTGGATGATGCAGAAAACTTCACCTAGCTTAACCAAGATATAGAGGAATACAGAGAAGGAACACACACACCTCAAATGTCTGCCATTTCTCCAGTTCATCAAGTTATGCGCCACACCGAGCCTGCCTGCTTTCCGTGTTGTCGCTTTCGTTGTCCTTTCCTTGCCTCACAATCTTTAACAAGCTACAATCTTTTTGCCGCCCACTTCCTTAAGCAAACTTCAGATTGTCCACAAGGGTAAAATGACATATTTATTATGGTGTTTGTATTTCTTAACCACTTACCATGTGCAAAAGTGTGCTGCAGTTTTTCTTAGGGTTCTATTTTATTTCTTTTTTTTTTTTTTTTTTTTTTTATTGGTACCAGTGATCGAACTCACGACTGCCTGCTTGCAAGGCAGGTGCTTATGCCGCTGAGCTAAATCCCCAGCCCCTCTATTTTATTTCTGATGTGTTAGTGATACAGTTTTTGACTGTTGTGCCCCCAAGCATGGTGATTTTTAGGAATATATTTGTCACATTGTAACAGAGTCTTCAATATAAAACATATAATTACATCTGATTCTGTGTGTTTGTGTGTGTGTGTGTGTGTGTGTGTGTGTGTGTGTGTGAATGTGGAGAAAGGAAAATAAACTAGAGATAAGATGTTAACATTTGTAACAATCCGGGTAAAGAGTAAATGGAATTCTTCCTGCTATTATTGCAACTTTTTTGTATTTTACATTGTCAAAATAAAAATGTAAGAGAAAGAGTAGGAGATGGGAGATTTTTTTTAAAAAAATTGAAATTCAAGTATAAAAAAATAAGAAAGATCAAAAGAAAGGAGAAATGACTCAGCTGAGAAAATGACCAAAGTGGAGGGCAAGAGACAGTCCTGAGCCTTTTGTAGAGATTGAGTTTAGTGTGATGTAAGCTATTGGTAAAATATCATAGAAATACTACACCTATACAGTGGGAGGAACATTGTGCTTTCCTGTGAAGACTTTTTGGGAGGATTCTGTCGATGTCGCTCCCGGCCGGCAGGAAGGACACACGACAAAGTCTGGCAGTGGACAACCTTTTCTTTTATTTTCTCTCCGTACAGCCTGCCCTGGGATCGCTCCCAGCCGAAGCCTCCTCTGGTCCGCTCCCCGCGGCTCCTTCTGTGCTTCGCTCCGAAGCCTCTACCGGTCCGCTCTCCGCGGCTCCTTCCGGGCTTTTACTTCCCCCCAGGGGTGGCACCAGTATATATACGGATACAGTGTCCAATCATATTAAAGTAAGCAAGGCAAGCTGATTGGCTAACATATTATTGAGCGGGTTGTTTACGCGGTAAGCAGGAAACTAACGTGCTCGATGGGAGGGGTAATCTAACTCAGGCTTTGCTCTTTACCACAGGCCGCATGATCGCTATATGCGGCGGCTCGGCAATGTGGTGGCTCCCAACATCTCCCCCTTTTTTATTTTAAATAAGTCTACGCATCGCAGCCCGTCCTGAATTGAGTGTAGAGGCCTATGTCCTGATAGGAGGCCCACCAAGGGCTCTCGGCGTCGGCCCGAGTCGGCCGTCCCCGAGTCTGCCGAGGCCCCGAGGCCCTCGTCCTTTTTCCAGGGCCAGGAAGGAACCGGACGGAACCTGGATGCACACAGGCATACACTCATGTCGCTCCGCATGATCCCCCCGGGGCGACATTTGGTTTGGGCGGAACCTAGTAATTCAGCGGCTTTCGTGCGGTATGGGGTAGGGCCTGTCTTAGGTTGAGTCATGCTGGGGAGGCATGCTCTTACCCGTCATTGACTCATCTACCCTGCTATATCATGATTTTTTAGAGGAGGAGTGTGGGAAGCTCACCGTCCCTAGACTCGGTCGTAGGCTAGGCGAGCGAGCCATGCATATGCCTGAGGATCTTCTTGTCCATTTTGGGCTACCGCTATTTCTATTTATCTTGTTGGTTGGTCTGTGATGGATCTCCGGTAGGGCAGGTCTGATCTTCAGTCAAGGGCTTTGTCGCCCGTGTCAGTCTCTCCGGTACCCACAGTGGTTCTCGTCCCGATTCCTGTGGGAAGACACAAACCGCACCTCGGTTCCAGCTGACCACTGGATCCGGGCCCATCCATTGTCCTGTCAGGACATCTTTCCACTTCACCCACCCTTTATGGTTGGGGGAAGGGTTGCAGTGCTCCACAGCTGGGGAGCAATTATCATTATTTAAATTTAAAAAATTGTGTGTGAATAGTGCCATGGATAATCGTGCCTTTGGGGCCAGGCCTTGGCCTACTCCCCCTTTTTGTTTAGCTAGAATTGCTTTGAGACTTTTATGGGCTCTTTCGATGATTCCTTGACCTTGGGGATTGTATGGGATATCATGTTTTAATTGAACCTCCATCATTTTGCAGAACTCATTGAAGGCTTTGCCTATATAGGCTGGTCCATTATCAGTCTTTAATATTTTTGGTTTGCCCCATGCGGCCCAAGCCGCCAGGCAATGATTGATCACATTAGACACTTTTTTACCTGTTTCTGCTGTTGCAAATATGACGTGAGAACAGGTGTCTGTGGAAACATGAACATATTTAAGAGTCCCAAACTCCTATATATGTGTGATGTCCATCTGCCAAACATCACCAGGGATCAAACCTCGAGGGTTTACTCCCATCGGTATGGCAGGTTTGTATGTGGCACAGGAGCCACATAGTCGCACGATATCTCGTGCATCTGCTCTGGAAACATGGAAATGGTTTGTTAGTGTCCTGGCATTGACATGAAACTTATTATGGAAGGCACGGGCTCGCTCGATTGGTGTTAGTAAGGTAAAAATCTATAACGGGCGAGTGGCAGTGTCAGCAGCCGCATTCCCCTGTGCCATAGGCCCTGGCAGGGATGTATGTGCTCTTATGTGGGTGGTGAAGACCTGAGGCTGTTTTGGCACCACTTACCTGCTTTTAGGCGCGGAGCCCTATGGCATTGATTTGTTTATAGACAGCGCCGGGGAACTGAGTCTGATCATCAGCGTGCCGACCTTTTCCCATAAGCATTTCCTTGTTCCACCCCCGGTTTCCCCGACTGGCGTTTTTCTCAGCCTGCTCTGTAGAGAACTCTGCGTACCAGGCTCGCCAATCCAGGTAACTACCCGAGGGCAGACACGCCTTTGCCAGCTGAATCCAGTCCGCGGGGGTGAGGGGCCCAGAAGACAGGTTCTCCAGCATGGCAATGGTGTAAGGCGCAGTCGGCCCAAAGGTTGTAACTGTATTTTTAAGTTCTCTAATCTGCTTTATCTCAAAAGGCTCCCATGCATTACGTCCCTGGCCCATAGCTACTTGTATAGGAAATATCCCGTAGGGGCCACTATCTATCCCAGGTGGTGGATGTACCTCATGAGACAAACGTCCCCCCTGCCAAAGCCGCCTGTAAAAATACCGACCCGCCGGCGGCGGAGCATAAGACGGCGGCCGTGATTGGGCGGAAAATGGGGGCCCGTGCATCACTTCCTGTTTTGGCGAAAGGGGAGGGAGCTCCCACGCGGCCACCTCGTGGCGAGGGATCGCTTCCGGGAACAGCCCCCAAGGTGGGGCGGAAGGCTTCGCCTCCCTCTCGCGCCAGGGGGCGCTCAGGAGCTCTCTACTCCTCCGCAGACCAAGTTGAGCGGAGCGCAATTCGCGGCGCAACGCTGGGAAAGAACCCTGCGACTCCTTATCAAGCGGCCTATCCTCTTGGCATCTAGGCTCCTTGGTCTCATCGTTGTCTAAGCCTTCCTCGTTCTCGGAGTCAGACGACTCCAAGGCCTGAGCCCCGTCTTCCTCCTTTATATCTTTGTCTCCTTTGACGGACCCCTCCCGGGAGCTCCCTGACTGGGCCTGTTTGAATGCCCTACGCACTTTAATGAGCTCTTGAGAACCTTCCCTGCAACCACCCTCGCTCTTCAAGCATGCATATATCATTTCCCATAGTGGCCGAGCGAAGACCGAAGCCCCGCCCTCCCTTTCCGCTAGAGAAAGATCCCTGCCCAACTTCTCCCACGAGGGCAGGTTTAAGTGCCCTGTGGGCAAGAACCAGGGAGCGAAACTATCAATCTCCTCAAAAAAGCTCTCCAGCGTTTTGCGTCCCACCTTGAGGTCTCTGGACTTTAAGAGCTTTCGGAGGACCTGTACCAAGGGCTGGGTGTCGTTACTCGGTACGTTACCCATATTTAATATGTTACTCACCGCGTGAGGCCCAAAAATCCGCCACTTACGCGTGAGCCTGAGGGGAGTCTAAAAACCCTGTAGGTGCGCGCCACCCAGGGCCCAGGTTTATCCCCTACTCACCTGTCTCGCAGTGCTGTATCAAGGAACGTTGTCCACTACCACGTCTCGGGGGTGATCAGTTGTTCCCCGTACGGGCCACCAAATGTCGATGTCGCTCCCGGCCGGCAGGAAGGACACACGACAAAGTCTGGCAGTGGACAACCTTTTCTTTTATTTTCTCTCCGTACAGCCTGCCCTGGGATCGCTCCCAGCCGAAGCCTCCTCTGGTCCGCTCCCCGCGGCTCCTTCTGTGCTTTGCTCCGAAGCCTCTACCGGTCCGCTCTCCGCGGCTCCTTCCGGGCTTTTACTTCCCCCCAGGGGTGGCACCAGTATATATACGGATACAGTGTCCAATCATATTAAAGTAAGCAAGGCAAGCTGATTGGCTAACATATTATTGAGCGGGTTGTTTACGCGGTAAGCAGGAAACTAACGTGCTCGATGGGAGGGGTAATCTAACTCAGGCTTTGCTCTTTACCACAGGCCGCATGATCGCTATATGCGGCGGCTCGGCAATGTGGTGGCTCCCAACAGGATTCTAACCCAAAATATTAAAAAAAATAGAGCGAATCTATACATATAAAACATATAAATTAACAATCCTAAATCTATTTAGTAGCTTTATTCTTTTCCTAAGCAATACAACGACTTTAACATACTTAGACTACTCACTGGATACCCCACATACAAATATTACTGTTATTACAATTTTAATTCTATTTTGAAAAAACACAAACAGTAAAATATTGATAGTAGTTCGTTAATGTTACAGTCAGCATCTGTGTTTCCCATTGTTTCCATATGGGTTCATTTTTCTTGCTGAATTGCATCTTTAATATTTCTTCCAAGAAGGATCTTCAAGCTCCTTTTGTCTTTCTCTGTCTGAAATTGTCTTTATTTTGTCCTGACTCATAAAGGATAGTTTATATGGGTATGAAACTATAGATTGACAGTTACATTCCTTTTGTCTGTTGAAGGCTTGTCTTCTCTCATATGTTTTTGTTGTTATCAATCCTTTTGGAAAAATTCACCTTCTCACTTTAGAAACTTTTAAGATTTTCCTCCTTTGTCTTACATGTTTCTTCAGATACCATATATCTACCAAGTCTAGTTTGTTTGTTTGTTTGCTTGCTTGCATAGTTGTTTTAATTCTGGAAATTTCTGCATAACCATGTTGTCATTTCCCAGTGTGTTATCCATACACTTAATTAATTACTCTTTCATCATCTTTTAGTCTCTCTATGATTTATTCTCATGAACCCTATAGTATTCCAGGACAAGTGATATTCTGTGTTGTGGCTTATATCTAAATGTCCCCCCAAAGTCTTTTAGGCGTTTTTTTTTGTTTTTTTTTTTTTTGTTTTTTTTTTTGGAAGTGGCTGGATCTAGGGTGTATGATGCTGGGATTCAGTGTATGATGCTCAGGTTAAGGGCATGCTGCTAGGACTGAGGTTGCTCCACCCTGGGTATGTGGAACCATCCAAAAGGCGGGTAGCTGGGGGAAATGTAAAGACAGGCTTGCTTGTTTGCTAGTGCTGCTTTGCTGTCTTCTGCCTGCCAAGAACTATTTCTCCTCTGCAGTGCCCCCTGCCATGCCACTCTGGGTTGGAGCTGGCCAACTATGGACTGAAGCATCCATAAACCATGAGCTAAATCCTTCCTCTTTTGACTTTGGACAAAGTAACTTTGTCAAGAAAAGTAACTAAGACACTCTGCTAATTTTATGGGTTAAAAATAAACAAAGTAAAATTGGGTTTTTCCCTAGGTAAAATACTTGGTTAAGAAGTAGGGTCATGATTTGAATCTGTGTCTGCCTGACATCTGGTGTAGGTTCTGTCTTTTTTGAGTTTGTGAGTTTATCCTGAAAGTTAGAGCCATCAAACAGGGAAGCAGCATCAGATCACTGCATTACCCTGCACATGGGTGGGTGTCACTGGGAGGAGGAATGTGACTTCAGCCCCAGGCAACAGGACGCCAGTGCTGAGGACCTAACGCGTGTCAAGAGCTATGTTTGGTCTCTTTTTCCATTTTCATTTTAAGTTGCTTCTGGAAAAGAAAACTTTAGTTCCATTTTTCTCTGTTACGATATGCCAGATTTCCAACTTTCTCAGACTTTTGGCTGTCCAAATAGACTGTTTACCAAAATATGTTTGTATACCACTTGTCTCTCTCAGTAGCAGAATTCTAGTTTTGCTCTATTGGGCAGATGTTGTTAAACTTAGTTTTTCAGCAACAGGGAACTGATGAAATGTTTACAGTGTTATTTTATAAATATAAAAGTGCATTGTTGTTGTTCAGCATTTGGTAGGCACTTACAGAGTGCTGAGCATTAGGGTATCAACATCATGAGGAGAGGGAAGGCGCAAAATTATTCAGATGATTTCTGGGGAAACGATACTTCTTACATCTATTTTAAATATTATGTCTGTTATTTTTCTCAAGTAGCTAAGTAGTACTTTAAGGAACTTCCACCATGCAGCTCAGGCATTACAACCAAAGATGAGGTGATACACATTGTAATGTGGTCCCTTATTCAATTTTTAAAAATACTGTACTGATCATCTGTTATTTGACAGGAGAACTCACAGGCCCATAAGGAGGACAAATATGAAAAACAGTTGTAGTGCAAAATAATGACAACTGTACTGAAAGACAGTTCTAAATGGAAGTGGCCAAAGGCTGGGGGTGTAGCTCAGAGATAGAGCAGTTAGGCCTGGCGTGAGCAAGGGTCTGGGTTTGAGGCCTACTGCCACAGAAAGCGGGGGTGGGAGGTGTAAAGATGTGGTTTGTTTCACCCTAGTGCTTCAAGGGCAGCTTCTCTCAGAGGAGGAGACAGGCATATCAAATGGCCTTGAGGCAAGAGTTTTCCAGAAAATAAAAGGTTACTTCAAAGAGAGCAAACAGCACATGTAAAACTTCTTTAAATACACACATTATTCTACGGGCCTGTGGTGCTCCAGTGTGTCCTGAGAGGTGGTTGTGGTTAGAGGTCATGCCTAGTTTGTGGAATTCATTGGGTACCTCACAGGAAGCTTAAGTATCCTGGCATGAGTGTAGCCACGAAAGGAGTTAAAGTGGGGAATGTCTGCATCACTGGAAATTTTGAGGACACTGGATGGAAGGAAGTGACACCAAGGAAGCGGCCAATGAGAAGGGTAACTTAAAAGTAGTGGAAATGGAGCAAAGAGATTTGAGAAACAGAATCCAGTATTGAAAAAATAATGTAGCTGGGGATTTAGCTCAGTGGCATAAGTGCCTGCCTGGCAAGTGCAAGGTCAGGAGTTTGATTCCTGGTATCCAAAGGGGAAAAAAAAATGTGGAGCTGGAGGGAAAGGGAGTGTTTTAGGATAACTTTTGGGATTCTAGTTTGGGAGCCTGTAAGTGGATTTCTTTCTTACTGTCAGGCTTAAACAATAAATATATGGCAAACATTTTTCTTTTCATCTATTTCTGTCAAGCAACCACCAATCCTGGAGGAAATAATACTGGTTTACCCCAAATACAGTGTACTGAATAGGCTGCCCAAGGAGGGGCAATGGCTTTCTGTTTTGCAGCTTGCTAGAAAAGGAATGAGAATAACATATGAGAACTTCATAGTCTTAATTTAATGTCTTTAGAGGAATCCTGTCTGCACAGCATAGCTTTGATACTGGGGTCATGACTCCTGCCTTTAATCATTGCAGAGAGAGCACTGGTCATACATCTTATCAGCTCATGCACACATCATGCTCATACTCCTTAAAGTGTACTTTCCAAATAATTAGACTTTTCACTTAATTTCAAAACATTTGTGATAACTGTTGTGCACCACTTTTGGTGGCAGGTGCTTTCGCATGTTGTTTTATTCAATATCCACGGCACCCTGAAAGATAGATAGTACCATCGGATTTACAGATGACGAAGTGAGGTTCTGAGACAAGCTGTCAGTCACAGGTCCCAAAGCACGTCAGTTGCTAGATCAAGGCTGGAAGCAGATTCATGTCCTAAATCTAATTTTTCCCATCCTGTGATAATCCGCTCTCATGGTATGAGCTTTTCTTTAATGTATATCTTTTTTCAAGATCTGTATTTACTCATCCATTCATTGTGTTAACCACCGGTAGCCCCTCTTATGTATCAGTGCAGTCACCAGATTAGGTACAGGTTGATGGTAGGAAATGAATCGGGCCAGTGCAGAGAATGACAAGTGAACAACAATTATAATACAGTTTAAGGAATGTCCCAGATGTGCAGAGGATGGTATGGGAGACCAGGCAGTGCACTCAGCCAGGAACTGGGGTTCACTAAAGGTGCCCCAGAGGAAGGGATGTCCAAGCTGGGGTCTGAGGAACAAGTGAGAGTTGACCAGGAAAGGAGTGAGGGTAGCATCTTCCTGGCAGAGGGAGGTGTAGACACAGGCCACAGGAGAGGATGGGGCAAAAGATACAATGAAAGATAGGCCCAGACCAGGTCAGGGAAGACTTTGCAAACCGTGTCAGGATGCCTGCAGTGAATCTTGGGTTCGTGTAATCCCAGCACTTGGGAGGCTGAGGAATTGCTGGGAATTCATGGCCAGACTGGACTACATAGTAAGTTCAAGACCAGTTTAAACTGCATAATGAGACCCTGTCTCAACCAAAAGAAAGCCAGCAAACAAGCAAGCAGAGAAGTTACATGAACATGCAAGCATTTTGAAAGGTGACTATGGTAGTAGTACAAAAAGAAATGATTACTAGCCAAACTTGGAGGCAGAAACCACCCAGAAGTCTACCATGTCCGTTTCCAGGGCAAGGATGTGGCCTGGATTGGGAAAGTGACTGTAGGGACTGGGAAAAGGGCACAGGCTTAGGAAGTAGGAGGGGTGGAATCCTCAGGCCTTAGGAACTGAGTGAATGGAGGAAAGAGAGAAAGTGAAGCGCATATTTCCCAGGTAAGGGGGGGGGGATGATTTGAGGTTTGTTTGTGTTGAGTGTGACATGTCAGTGGGCCCCCAAGAGTTGTCACTCAGGAAGCTCTGAATATGAATCTAGGAGATCGGGAGAGGGGGTGAGATGATTGAGGTTTGAGAGAGATCTGCAGAGAGATGGTAATTAATTTAGCAGGCAGAGGCTCTAAAGCAAGAAGAAAGACAGCATAAGCCAGCCAATACCTCTGTTAAGAGACTGTCAGAGAAAAGGGAAAAGGGACTATCAGCAGGCAGGGGAAACCAGACAGGACACATTCAGAGAAGGAAATAAAACCAGGATCACACGCATAAGCTAAGGGTTCAGAGTGCTTAGTAAACTATCTGGTGCCTCGTGTTGAAAAGAGATTTCTTGGATACAGATAGAAGATCGCCTGTGGGTTAAGCCCCTGGAAGGTCTCAGGGGTCGTGAGAACGTTTTC